AACAATTGTGGAGAAAGAGACTGCCAAAGGAGACTACAAAGTTGAGCATCTAACCTTTGCCAAACTGTCTTTTCTTTTTCCGGTATCATATCCACTTCTTTTTGCAAGTGGTCAACAACACCTTGGCCCATAAACCATAATTCTACGGCATCCGACCAAGAGTGGTAATTTTGAGAACCACATAATCTTTCAGAAGTGATTACCGGGTTTCCAGACAGATTAGGCACATAAACAGAGCTTGAAGAAGTAGGTAAATTATTGGCAGGAGAAATAGTACCCGAATTATCAGAATTTCCGTCGGAAGACATCGTGACCAAAAATAAATCTGATTGCACGGAAGGAAAGGAGGAGAGCCGACGATACGATCTGGAGAATATCGCCGGAAAAGGCCGCCGGAGATGGCCTCACGCGCCGGCGCGTGGTGTCGGAGCGCCGGCGACGCGGTGGCGCGTGGAGGAGATTCCGGCGACCGGAATTAATGGGTAATGGTCGCCGGAGGATGGGTAAGGCGGCTGTAGTACTAATTTGATAAAATATCTCACCAATAGCAAGTAATTTGAAAAATTAATTTCGAATGAACAGTTACATGTACTGTTCACCGGAAAAAAAAATTTCAAATTTTGACTTTGGCTCTTGATACCATGTTGAGAAAGAAGATGTAGAAGAAGTTTTTATTACTTGCTCTTCTCAATGAGGAGACAATAGATAAATATATACAGACTAAGAGACACAATCCTAATAGACACAACCCTACACAACTTCAACAGCTATATTTCTACAGACACAACTTTTGTGTTTCAACACGGCTGACCTTTCACTGGTAGTATTTCTTTAAGTGGATTACATTCTAGATCCGATCGATGGGCCTTCCTTCTAAGGTTTCTAGCTTGTATGTGCCAGCTTGGACCACTGCGGCGATGCGGTAGGGCCCCTCCCACTTGGCAGCGAACTTTCCCCCTTCCGTGGGTTGACTGGCCTGTCGATCTCGTAGCACGAAGTCGCCTACCTGGAAGGTTCATGGTCAAATTCTATGATCTCTGTACCTCTTAACAGTCTGCTGATATTCCACCATGCGGGCATGCGCGGCCTCCCTTCGTTCCTCCAAGAAGTTCTTTTCGATCCTAAGGCTTTCTTCGTTTCCTTCGTCCGAATAATTGCTGACCCTATGAGTGGGCTCAACGACCTCTACGGGTACCTTGGCATCGAAGCCGTATGCTAAAGAGAACGGGCTCTCGCCGGTTGCCCGTCTCTGGGTAGTTCGGTATGCCCATAGGACTCGGTCGAGTTCATCCGCTCAATTCCATCCGACGTCTTCTAACTTCTTTCGGATACCATCCACGATCGTCGATTCGCATTTTCAACTTGCCCATTACCCTGGGGGTAGGCGACCGACACTTTTGTGTGTCGTATGCTGTGCCGTCGGCAGAAATCGGCGAAGGGCCGGCAGTCGAACTGTCGACCGTTGTCGCTAACTATATGTTCGGGTAGTCCAAAACAACAAATCACCTTCTTCCACGGAAAACGTCGGCATTGATACTCAGGTGATGTTAGCCAGTGGCTCGGCTTCAATCCACTTGGTGAAGTAATCGATAGCTACCACACAAAACTTTAGACGTCCTGGGGCGACCGGTAAAAGACCTAGCAGGTCGATACCCCATTTTGCGAATGGGATGGCCGTGTTGACCGGCGTGTAGAATGTAGCTGGTCGCGTATCCTTCCGTGCGAATGCTTGACATACCACGCACTTGGCTATCCACTCTATGCAATTTCTCATCATAGTAGGCCAATAGTAGCCCTGAACGACTAACTTTCGAGCGAGTGTGTGTGCGCCTTGGTGGGCCGCGCATATTCCACGGTGAGCTTCGTCCATTATCTTTTCTGCATCCGTTCTGAGCAGGCATTTGAGGAGAAGACCCCCAAATGATCGCTTATACAACTGTCCATCTATGATCTCAAATGAAGGAGCTTTGCGGCGAACTCGAGCGGCGACCCCGGGGTCGTCTGGCAGTTCCCACTTTTCCTTTTAGCGGCGGATATCTTCTATCCAAAACATCTCGGGGTTCCTGTCGCGATCCCATCCCGGAGTTATCACCTGTTGAACCTCACTGATTGCTTCCTCTATGCTGGGTCGAAGCAATTCCTCCTTCTGGCAAATTCTTACCAGATGGTCCGGCACGCCTTCCAAGGCGATCTTCGATAGTATATCTGCCTTCGTGTTGTCGGCCCGTGCGATGTACTCTATCTCGTGGGCAACAAATCCCTTCAATAGTTCCACTGTCTTCTCTTTATATTGGGCCATTCGGGCATTTTTTGCTTCGCAGGTTCCGGACACTTGTCCCACCACCAAGCGAGAGTCAGTCTTGATCCACAGGCGATCCGCCCCTAACGTCTTGGCAAGTCCCAGACCTCCCAGTACTGCCTCGTACTCGGCCTCATTATTGGATGTCTGAAATAAATAACTCAAAGCATAGTAGAGCCTGAACCCTTCGGGGGTGATTAGCATGATTCCGTCGCCACAGTGTTGGCGACTCGCTGCTCCATCCGCTTGTATCTCCCACCATTCGCTGGGGTCTTCCTCCGAGGCCGAGATCTTGTCATCTTCTCCCGAGGTGCATTCGACCAAGAAGTCGGCCAGGGCCTGCCCCTTAATCGAAGGGCGAGGCTGGTACTCGATTCCATATTGGGTCAATTATACTGCCCATTTCACGAGTCGATCGGATGACGTGGGATTCCGCAACACACTTCCCAGAGGTTGTTCTGTCAGGACTCGAACGGTATGGGCTTGGAAATAAGGTGCCAGCTTCCGCACCGTGATCACCAAGGCATAGACTATTTTTTCCAGGGATGTGTACCGAGTTTCGGCTGATTTCAAGGAACGACTCACATAATACACCGGGTGTTGCGTCCGTTCCTCTTCTCAGACGAGTACCGAGCTCACGGCCTTGGGAGAGGTCGCCAGATATAAAAATAAGGGTTCGCCGACCTTGGGGGTAGATAGCACCGAAGGTGTGGAAAGGTATATTTTCAATTCTTCGAAGGAATGCTGGCACTCGGCCATCCATGCGAACCCCTCCTTCTTCTTCATAGCTTCGAAGAAAGGTACAGTCTTATCTGCCGACTTACTTAGGAAGCGACTCAGGGCGGCCAATCGGTCAGTCAATCTCTGTAAATCTTTAACGGTGCTAGGAGGCTGCATATCCATTATGGCCTGTACCTTCACCGGGTTTGGCTCAATGCCCCTCTTGGTCACCATATATCCCAAAAATTTACCCCCTTGTACGGCAAAAGCGCATTTTTTGGGATTGAGTCATAGGTTATATTTAAGCATTACCTGGAAGCAATCGACCAGGTCCCCGGCGTGACCAGCTTCCTCTCGGCTTTTCACCAGCATATCGTCCACGTAAGCCGCCATGTATTTTCCTAACAGGTCCTGAAACAGCCGAGCGACCATCCGGGTATATGTGGCTCCCGCATTTTTGAGTCCGAAGGGCATGACTTGATAACAGTACACGCCATCCGAGGTCAGGAAGGCTGTTTTCTCCTCATCGGCCTTGTGCATGTAGATTTGGTCGGAAGGCATCCATGAAGCTCAATAACACCGACATTGCTGTCTCGTCGACCAGCTGATCAATCCTGGGCAAAGGAAAATGATCCTTTGGGCAAACTTTGTTGAGGTCAGTGTAATCCACGCACATCCTCCAGGCTGGTGGTTTTGGCACAAGCACCACATTGGCTAACCATTCCGGGTATTTGACTTCCCGGATATGGCCGGCAACCAATGTTGAAAAAATCGCTAGGCACCCTCTAGGCGCTTGGGGCCCGCCTAGGGCGCCTAGAGCGCCTAGCCGGGCGCCTAGGCCGCCTAGGAGGCCGGGCGCCGATTAATCGGCGCCTAGGCGCGATTTTTGCAACAGTGCCGGCGACTAACAGTGTGTTTACTTCCTGCTTGACGAATCCTCTACAATCATTGGCCAGGTACCGCTTTTTCTGGATCACAGGTCGGTGGCCAGGGTCGACGACGAGCCGATGAGAGATTATTGACCTGTCCACTCCAGGCATATCTTCGGGACCCCACGCAAAAACTAGGCGGTTTTCTCGGAGTACCCTGATGACTTCCTCTCGCACCTCCTTTCGGAGGCCGACTCCAATCCTCACGCGTCTTTCTGGTCGAGCCGGATCAATCTCGATTTCTTCCAGTTCCACGGCCGGCTCGGGGCGAGGTGGCATCGTCTTCTTTGGGGGTCGCTCTGTGATCTTGTGAACTTGCATCTCACGTTTGCCCATACCCCGGCAGGATTGTAAGTAGCAGTCGTGGGCGGCCCTCCTATCGCAGCGCACCATACCTACTCCGCTCGGTGTGCAGAACTTTAAGCAAAGGTGTTCAATGGAGATCAGAGCTCCCAGATCTTCCAAACCAGGATGGCAAAGGATTGCATTGTGAGAGCATGTCAGGTCGACAACAATAAACTTCATGTCTAGCTTCTGTACGTCAGGATAAGTACCAACCTCAACGAGTAGAATGATGGATCCTTCAGCTTCCATGGAGTCGCCCGTGAAATCGGCCAGTGGCGTCTTGACTAAGGTCAGTTGTTCTCGTGCCAACCCCATTTTGGTGAAGGTTTCGAGATATAAGATATTGACGTTGCTCCCAGTGTCTACCAGGATCCGCCAGACGACCACCCCGTTTACATCCATGGCAATGACTAGGGCGTCGCGATGCGGTGTTTCTCCTGTAGGCAAATCTTTGTCCGTAAAGACGATAGGCTCCCGGCATATTTTCTTCGAGCCACATTCTCGTCCGTACACAGTCCCTACGTACAGCTGCCGAGCCCAGGCTTTCCTAGTGTTGGCAGAGTCGCCTCCTTCAGGTCCGCCGACTATCATGTTGATAACCGACTTCTGCCTCCACTGGGCTTCACCTTCATCAGTCACCGCTGCTTAGCGTGATCGCCTTCGACCACCTCCGAAGGGTCGCCATCCTCCTTAGCCGCGGATCTTCTTCACCATTGGTTGGGAGGCGGCGTCCCTTGCTGGATGATCCCCTCCATGATCTTCAGGTAATAACATTCCTCTGTGTTGTGGGTGTATGATTTGTGGTATCGACAATACTTAGACGTCTTACCCGGGTCCTCATTTATTGCGTGCTCCCCGGTCGGAAGAGGCGGAGGCGGTGCGAGCGCTTGTACTTCGTGTACCGGGTGCTGGGAGGTCGGCCGGTAAGGCTGAATGCTAGGCCTATCGTATATGCGTCGGGCTTCGGGTCGCCTACCTGAATCCGAACGTCTCTCCTTTACCTCTGTTCGGGTTCGTTTTCCACCAGAGGATCCTCCGACTTCCTGCTGTCGCTTGTGTTTCATAGCTTGTTCCGTATTGGCTCGCTTGTTGGCCATGTTTATGGCCTCCGCATAGGTGGCGGGTCGGTTGTCCCGTAAGTCGCGATACAGTTGCCCGGATCGTAACGACTCAATGAAGAAGGTGAGGGCAGTCTGGTCCTCAACTTCCTCGATGGATTGGATCTCTTTTTGCCACCAGGCTAGGTAGGTTTTGAGGGACTCGCCCTCCTCTTGATGGATGTCTCCCAGATGCGTTAAATCTTTTTGGGGCTTGATGTTAGCCGCGTAATGACTCATGAAGCGATCGGCCAATTCTTCAAAGCTGTGAATCGAGCCTGGGGGCAAAGCTACCAGCCATCTCTGTGCTGAGCCCTTCAGTGTCGGTAGGAAGGCGCGACACATGACGGGATCCCGGACCCCCATGACCTGCATTTTGGCTTGGTAACTCAGAAGATGTTCGCGCGGGTCGCCGGATCCGTCGAAGGTGGCTTGCTCCGGGAACTTAAAGTCGCCGGGTATCTTGTACGCCATAATCTCAGCCGAGAAGGACAAGGCGGTGAGCAACGTCCGACCTGGGGACTTGGTTCTACCTTCCACTTGCTCCTTCAGATTCTGTAGATCTTGGGCCAAGTGGGCCACATCTCCAGCGTTTCGAGTGTGGTTTCCTGTGGACTCTGTACTTTTGCCGACCCGTGACTCGGCCTGCCGCTCCTCATTGCGAGTAGGTCGCTCGGCCTGGCGCGCCCGAGTTCGCTTTCTTCTGGTACGAGTTCTTTCTCGGGTGGCCTCTCGATTTCGCTGACTCGTCGGTGCGCGACTGGGTTCTCCTCCCCCTAATCGCTCTCTCGCCGATTGGCGCGTCACATTCGGGCCTAGCCTCGAATGTACTGACCGCACCGGCGGGTCTTCCGCTCGTCGGTCTTCTCGTCTGTTTCCGTCCGACCTTTGAGGCAATTGCCGATTGCGTGGCTGTGCGTTCGGCGGCCGAGATGTCGACGGTTCTCCTCTTACTCGGGTCTCGGCTACGATCGCTCGACCAATGGCCCGAATCTGCTCGGGGGTAAGAGGTATCATTGTCGGGGGTCAGTTTCGGGGTGCCGAGTCATTTTCCTGACTCTGTGAATTCCGCTGGTTCAGCTGCTCTCTCAAATCGGCTTCCGACTCGCGGTTACGGTTGGAGGCACGGCTTCGCCCTTCGGACATGTTGTAAAGTTTTCCTCTTCCTGCTCGCTCGCCTCTTTTCCTCTGCGAATTTTGATGCTCAAGAATGGACGTGACTCTTTGTTTCGATCCCCACGGACGACGCCAGTGTTGGTTTTAGGATTTTTGGGCCGAGGGAGGTCCAACACAACCTTGGTTGGTGGATACACCTTTCAATAAAGCTTATTCAAAAATAGAAGGGAATGGATAATTTTAGTAAACGTGTCTCTCTATATTCTGGGCATGGACCCGCTTGTTTTACATCTGGGAGGGGCCTTTATATAGTAGGCCCTCCTTAAATTTGGGCTTAAATACATTAAATTGGACTTTGATTGCTAATTATGCCGGAGAGCCGTTGGGCTGCCGTTACTGGACCTCCCAACGGCTCTTTGACCGGCTTCTTCAATGCTTCCTTAAATGCCCTTCAACGGCTCCTTATCGCTTTCGCCGAGTCCTCGCCCCGACCTTGGAGTCGGCTCGACTCCTGGACTCGGTCTGATCTTCTTTCGAGTTTTATTGCTTTCTGGGCTTCCGCTCCTTTTCCCTTGGGCCGCATATTATTCTCTTTGGGATTCCCCCATTCTTCTTGGGCCGGGGTCCACACCCCATCAGGTATATTATTTAAGTACGTAAGATACATTTTTGAAAGTACATTTTTAATATACTAAGGGTACATTATTTTATATAATGTATCTTCAGTACAAAAATAATGTACTTTCAATACAAAAAATATCAAAAATAATGTACTTTTAATATATTAAAAATGTACTTGATATTCATGATCTACACAATAATTTGTCGAAAATTATGATGTGGACTTGTGTTCACAATGCATTGTGGACACGAGTCCAAAACGGCGTCGTTTTCAGGGAAAATGCGACATTCCAGTTTTTTAAAAAAAAAAATGATTTTGTCTCGCCGTTAACGGCGTTATTCGTTTGTGTCATTATGAATGTACAGTTATGGAATTATGAATGTAAGTTATGGAATTATGAACACAGAGCTCTGACATTATGAACTTACAATTATGAACATATAGTGACAAAATTATGAACATAGAGCTCTAAAATTGTGAACATAGAGCTTCGAAAATTATGAATGTACAGTTATTAAATTATGAATGTACAGTTATGGAATTATGAATGTGCAGTTAGGGAATTATGAATGCACAGTTATAGAATTATGAATTATGAACACAGAGCTCTGACATTATGAACTTACAATATGAACATATAGTGATAAAATTATGAACATAGAGCTCTAAAATTGTGAACATAGAGCTTCGAAAATTATGAATTTACAGTTATTGAATTATGAATGTACAGTTACGGAATTATGAATGTACAGTTATGGAAGTATGAATGTAAAGTTATGAAATTATGAATGTACAGTTATGGAATTATGAACACAGAGCTCTGACATTATGAACTTACAATATGAACATATAGTGATAAAATTATGAACATAAAGCTCTAAAATTGTTAACATAGAGCTTCGAAAATTATGAATTTACAGTTATTGAATTATTAATGTACAGTTACGGAATTATGAATGTACAGTTATGGAAGTATGAATACAGTTATGGAATTGTGAACACAGAGCTCTGACATTATGAACATATAATGATAAAATTATGAACATATACTCCTATAACGAAGCTGTCTGAAATTTTTTTTTTAAACAAAAAAAAAAAAAAAAAAGGAAGATAACGGTGCCACTAACGGCACCGTTACCGTGTCCACAATGCATGCTGGACACGGGTCCATAGCATAACGATTGATAATTTGCCCTGTCGGCCCCGCAAATTATGTTGTGCATCCGTATGCACCATGCATGCATGGTGCATACGGATGCAATAACGACGTCGTTTTGGTTAAAAAACGCGCGTCCCACTTAAAAAAGAAATCAAGTTCGATTCCCGGCAATAGCATTTTTATATATCCATAAATTCATAACTATATATCCACAGTGAATGAATGAAGTAAAAATCCACAATGAATGAACTAAATATCCACAATGATTGAACTAAATATCCACAATGAATGAACTAAATATCCACAATGAATGAACTAAATATCCAGAAATTCATAACTATATATCCAGAAATTCATAACTATATATCCATAAATTCATAACTATATATCCACAGTGAATGAATGAAGTAAATATCTACAATGAATGAACTAAATATTCACAATGAATGAACTAAATATCCAGAAATTCATAACTATATATCCAGAAATTCATAACTATATATCCACAATAATGCTATTGCCGAGAATCGAACCTAATTTTTTATTTTTAAGTGAAACGCGCATTTTTAATCAAAACGACATCGTTTTGCATTATTTGCATCATGCATGGTGCATTCGGTTGCACAACATAGCTATTGCTGTCGGCCCCCACTTAGGCCAATAGTAGTTGTGATTGTTCATTAATGGGCCCAGGCCTAGGCCCTTAATAGAAGGCTAACATTAGAGTACTATCGCTTGTTAATTACTGGCGCAATAACATGTTGTGATTGATCCAACTAGCCAAGACATACAAAAAAACAATCGTTATGCTATGGAACCGTGTTCACTATCCATGGTAAATACGGTCCCAAACGGTAACGGTGCTTACAGGTATCATTATCTTCCGTCAATTTTGTTTTTAATTAACAGCGCGACTTTTCTTCTTCATATTCACATTTTGCGATTTCACTTTCTCTTCGCGCAAGTTTCTTCAACACTCATAAATTATGAATGTGCAGGCATGGATTTATAAAACAATTATGAAATTATGAATTTTCTTTCATGAGATTATTAATTTTCTGTTATAAAATTATGAATTTTCTGTTATAAAATTATGAATTTTCTGTTATGAGATTATGAATGTACAAAAAATTCATAATTACATAACTGTAAATTCATAATCTCATAACAGAAAATTCATAATTTAATAAATGTTTTTCTTTTATGAGATTATGAATTTTCTATTATGAAATTATGAATTTTCTGTTATGAGATTATGAATTTTCTGTTATGAGATTATGGATGTACAAAAAATTCATAATTACATAACTGTAAATTCATAATCTCACAACAGAAAATTCATAATTTAATAAATGTAAACTCATAATCTGAACATAGAGTGCAAACCGCCGTTAACAGCACATTAACTAATTTTTTTTTCGGTAAAAACGATGCCGTTTGGGACCGTGTTCACCAAGCATGGTGAACACGTTTCCACGGCATAATTTGTGTACAAAAAAAATAGTACTTCATTTGTCACATTTTATTTATCTGGTTCAATTAATCAGATTTTATTGAAATGATTTTTTATTTAATTTTTTCGTAATATTAAGTTTAGTATAAGTATATAAAATTTATATATTTAGAAACTATATTAAAAGCACTATTAAAAATAAAAAATTAAATTTAAAGATAATTAAAAATTACTTAAGAAAATCAATAAAGAAGAAAGAGTTTGTTTAATAGTGAACATGATAGGTAAAATAGGACAGGAGAAGTACTATACTACATTGTGGATGTAGAATTTTAGTATATTGAATATTAATTTTTAATATAATATATATTCATTTTTTTTAAAAGATAATATACTATAAATGACATTCAAAAAATAAACTTTTAGTAGATTAAAAATGAACATTTAGTATACTAAAGTTGAACCTCTATGAAAAAAACCTTAATAAAATTGATCAAATTATGAACCTTGTAACCACAGAATTATAAATTCAACTCTCTAACATAAGCTAAGGTTTCTCTCGTCGGATAATTATAATGTGAACTATGAAATATTTTCACACTTAAAATAAGACTTATCCAATGAAGTTATAACCAATTAGTCAGCCCCATTCAGGAGCACTAATATTTGATGAAATGAATGGCATTTCCCCACAAACAAAATGGCTGCTAATGAAAGGCAAGAAAGGACAAAATTGCATTATTAATATACAAATCTTGAACCCCTCTGATAGAGTCTGATCTAATTCAGTGTCTGCTTATATTTGTCTGCTTGCAAACAATATATTAACTGTTTTACCAACAATCTGATTGACCCATGCTATACAGTACAAGTTTATGTATGAGTCCCTCAACTCAATCCTTGAAATCTCACCCGGAATCGCAATTCAATGCGCGAAGAGTGAATGAGAAAGGCTGAGTCGATCCAACGACGCCGTTTCCCGCTGCTGATCTCGAGACAGGACTGCATATTTTTGCAGATCAGAATTGAAGAGGACTGGGGGTTCAGAGTTCAGACTCCCACTGCACTAAATACACCCACGAATTGAAGAAATGTGGAGTGAAAGATGACAGAGATTATACAAAATCAGGATCTGGGTTCATGTCAAAAGTTGTGCTCCCATTTTATCCGTTTTCTTGAAAAAGAGGGAGTGGAGAATCTCTCAGCCCTTTGTATACATGACAACCACTAGCGTTTCGCCACTGGATCTTTTATTGATGCTTCCCACCATCTTTTATCCTTCTTTTATTTATTTATGGTGTGTTTAGTTCGCAAATAGGAATCGGAATCAAAATAAGTATCAAATATTTGGTAATGGTAATGAGTTTTGATAAAAATATTTAACATGTTTGGTAGTAGAGTGGAAATGGTTACTAATACTAGTACTTGAGAATGAATAGGGGAATGAAACCCTTAAGGGGGCGTTTGGTTCACGGAATCTTGGATTACCTAGGTAATCTGAGTCTGATAATGTTATATTACATTGTTTGGTTCAAGTTATGAGATTACTAGGTAATGTTATATTACCTGAAAGCTGATGTGGCGGTAATGTTTCAAGGTAATGTGATTACCCCCATTTTTTTAGGTAATCTTAGATTACCTTGAATTATTCCAACTTTGCCCTTGTTAACTAATAATAATAATAATAATAATAATAATAATAATAATAATAGTAATATAATGAAATTAATATATGTTTATATAATCAAATATACATATGTGTATATTTATATATTTAGTTTTTTTTTAATATTTAAATTTTGATATACATTCATAGATATAAATAAATAAATACACACACATAATATATATATATATATATATATATATATATATATATATATATATATATATTATTGAGGGCATTATTGTAAATTGATTCATATAACCTAAAATATAACTCTGAACCAAACAAGGTAATATTATATTACACCATCCAAACCAAACACACAAGGTAATCTTACATTCTCAAAATCTCACATTACCTTCTAGGAGGTAATCCTATTACCTGGGGTAATCCAAGATTCCGTGAACCAAACGCCCCCTTATTGTATTTGAGTATGTGTTTTTCAATTGATGGGGTATTCGAAACTCATAGTATTGTTCTAAAAACCTATCAACCAAACAACAACAATCACTTTCATACTCATTTCTATGGACAAAACCCACCAACCAAACACACCCTTATTTTTTTTCATTATTGTGACGGGATATGAGGACTCATACAAATTTACTATTCTAAAAATAGTCCCAACCAAGATAGTTAAGTCAATTGAAATAATTTATTGACTTTTTTTAATTTAAATTATGGGCAATTTAAATGAATTAATTTATAATCATTTATTGACTAATGTTATAATGCAGAGTTTATCAAAGGTACATTCTCAAATATTAATTGGGTTCAATTGGCATAATTATAGGGTTTTGTGAAGACTTTAGGTAGCTAGAGGCCATGCATATAAACATCTATCTGCCGTGGATAAGGTAGCTAGCTAGCCTTCGTTCTGCATTCTATATGGGCAGGCTAGGAGCCTAGGATAGACTATACTACCAAAAAGGAAACACAAAAAAAAAAAAAAAAAAAAAAAAAAAAAAAAAACAAGTATATATGCTAGCTATTGATTGCATATATAAACATATTTTAAACTTTGATTTATTAACAATAAATCATGAATAGCAAACAAACGTAAGTCCATCATTGCGGGTGAAAAGTGTAAAACCATTGCCCCAAACAAATAATTCAACTGGTTTTTAAATAGTACTCATTCTATCCCATTTTACATATCATATTATTATTTATTGATCAAATTAATTCTTTATTATTTGTTTATTATTTTAAATATTTTAATTTTTTGGTTCGTGTTTAATAGTATTTTTAGTGTAATTTCTAAATATATAAAATTTGTATATTAATACTAAATTTAATATTATAAAAAATTAAATTAAATATATATAATTACAATCGAACCACATCAACTAAACCATACACATAAAATGAGACAGAGGGAGTAATAACCTAATAAATTATACCTAATAACACATAATTGAGCTCGGACAGACGACATAGTTATAGTGTTGAATAATTAAGTAACATCGATTTACCCTTCACTATAGGGTCTATGAAGGGGTCCGGAGACACAAATTTTACTTTTGTGGTAGGTTATGGATAAAGCAAGTATATTATTTTTAAAAAATAAAAATAAAAATAAAACAAATAACTCCATGGACCAAATTAAACAAACCTAGCTAGGAAGCGAGTCACCATCAATGGAGTGATAATAAAGAAGGGGAAAACAGGCAAGCAAGTGGACCGAGCCGAATAATTCTCGCTCATGTGCGACGAGGGAAACGGCCGGTAATATAATGATGCAGTGTTGTCGTTGATAAAAGATTAAGGTGGTCGTCATCATAATTATGTTGGTCTTCCAAAATCATTACGCACATTAATCAACATGTTCGTTCCCTGTTTATCGCGGAACCTCACGTCACCTCGCCTCCTCGCCATTAATATCATATATATTCCGTTCCCGGTTTCAATCCCCCTCGCGACGGTACGGCACGTAAACGCTGGGCTTAACTGCAGCCTAGCTAGCATGCATGCATGCAGAACAGAGTGGCGGTGTAGATAGCCACTAGCCAGCTAGCCTTATCTGGATTGTGCGTGGTTGCGTGTTTGTGTGGGTTTTGGCTCGCTTCGCTCACGCACGTTTAGGTTAGGTCTCCAATCGCACTGTACTCTACTCCGCCGAAATGTCACATCCATCTGCGTACAATTGGTCAAGAATCAAGATCAGGCACTCACAACTGAGATTATTAGCCCCTCCATCTATACATCAACTTGGATATATAATTGATCTGATATACACATCTCCATCATGGTATTCTCATTTGGAGAGTTGGACTATGTTAGATTTAAATAAAAGCTATAAGTGTAATTTTGAAAGAGTTCTCATGTAACTCTAAATTCTATTCTATTTTACTCCATAACATCACAAATAATGATGGAATATTTTTATGTAGGTCTTAGAAAAATGTGTCTACTATACATCAAATATTTGTAAAAGGGAGTGAGAGTTGAGAATAAGAAATAGGACTCCATGTAGTCCTTTTTGTTTTAGAAATGCTTTTAACGTGTTCTATCGGCCCGGCTAGTGCTCGTAAATTATCAAGTGAAAAGAAAAGAGTTTATACCAAAAATGATCTCTAAATATGTCAAAATTTGTAAAATGGTCATAAATTATTAAGTTATACAAAATGGTTTGTTCCTTAATTATGCAAAATTTTACTCATTTTAGTCTTTCGTTGCTTATATTGAAGATTAAATTGAGTAAATTTTTGCATGATTGATGAACTATTTTGGATACATTAATAGTTGAAGACCAGATTGAAAATTATGAGATAATTGAAAAACTACTTTGGATATAATTATTATCTTTATAAAAAAAAATCAATGATATTATGGGATTCGTGACAATAAGGCGTTAGCACACAAGTCTAATAACGGGTCGAAGATATAAATTGGATGAAAACTCGAGATTTTTTTAAAACTGCTTCATACTCAAAGCCAAAAATCGAATAACTCTTGACATTTGGCTAAAGATAGATTGGTCCCTTCTACTCAATCACACCTTAGGTTGGTTGAAAACTCGAGATGACAACAAATTAATTGAGCCCTTCTATATATAAAACATGTTGTTCAATTAGCTAACATTAATACGAGACATTACCACTAATTAAACATATACTTTTTTCTTCATGCATGCTTTAATTAATGGAAAGTCAAATTTTAGGAGGGTTGAATCGAAATCAGATTAGTATTACCGTGGTAGAAATAATAAAGAGCTAATGATCGATTTAGTCTGTTGACTATTGTGAAATTATTAATTTGATCATTGACTATCATTCTTACCAAATTAAGTATTTAACCTTAAAAATTTTATCCAATTTCATTCTCCCTATTAATTTGAGCGGTAGAATGATAGTCAATTTGAGTTGTAGGATGAAAACGGAGGACAAATCGGTAGATAAGCTTGACACTATGGAGGGTTAGGTGAAAAAGAAAAAATTACTACATATATAGTTAAACTCGCTCCTAATTAATTATTACAACAAACATAATAACTAGCTCGAATATAATCCTAGAATAGTCAAATTCTTGTTGGTAGAACCGTACATCGAAATGATGATATCGCCATGGATGTAGCTTTAATTTACATACAGGCTTGCTTCTTCTAAGCTAGGAACATGACGGCGTACTACGTCGGCCAAAGGCAGACATTCTAGGACTGGAACTAACGTTATTAGCAGCAAAGAACAATTCCGCCCAAATCTCCGAGAAAGCGCCGACGATAATCCCGTGGTACTGCCTCGCATTCAAAGACAGAAAGCACTGCAACAGCTGCTCCAAATCATCCTTCTCGAACATTTGCTTCTCCGTAATCATCTCCATCATCGACCTCTTGAAGTCCTCGTGAGGGTCGCGCGATTTCTTCACGACGGCGAAGCTCTCCTTCACTTTCCCGTCGACGCTGCATGGGATAAGCTTCTTGAACACCGACAGCCTCGCCGGCACCTCGCCCTCCGACGACGACACCGACGGCCTTCTGGTCGTTGGTGTTGTTCCGCGTTTCGCGGCGCGTTTCTTGGGCCTTCGTTTGCTTCTCCTCCTGATGATCCTATTGTTGTGATCCGTTTTTGGGTTGAACTCGAAGGACGAATCGGTCGAGAGGCTTGAGACTAGAGTTTCGGTCTCTCCCTCGTCGTTGCTAAACAGCCCGCTTTCGTCGGCAGATGAGGTGCTGATTCTTCGAAGCGCCGCCGCCGCCGCCGCTGATTTCTTTTTTCTACCCCGGCGTTTCTTTCTCTCCGCCGTGGACGGTGGAGGCGGCGGCGGAGGCAAGGCCAAAACCTCGTCGTTGTCGTCGCCGGAGACGGAGGAGCTATAGATTTTCTGACGCGGTTTCGTTTCGTCGTAAATATTCGCAACCACGTGCCAGTTCTCCTCTTTCCGCCACTTGAACTCCTGCTGCGGCCGTGATCTACCGCCGGAATTGCGGGAGGTCAACCCGCAGCCGACGGATATAAGGGCGGATGAAACGTGGCGTCTGAGGGCGGAGGAAGAGCGGTGGGTGTTAGAGGGTGCAGTGACGGGGAAATCAACGGCGGTGATGAGTTTGGTGGAGTTGTTGGGTGATGAGGATTGTCTGAGGAATGAAGGGACGGGATCTTCTGGGAGAGTGGAAGTGTCCTTGGAATTGCAAGATTGTAGGGAAGTGATGACTCTGGATATTCGAAGCTTGAAGGGCTTTGCCATTGTTCACAGCGGCTGCAGTCAAAATGACATGAAAGTGTAAAACTGTTATGAGATAATGAGAGATAGTGTATAGCTTTATATATAGAGCACTACGAAGGAGCGTCCAAAAGTTTCCCTCTTTGCGTAGGCCGTGCAGTTTGGGGATTTCTAGAGATAAAATAAGTTATTTTATGTCCATAAAATAGGATGTTTGAACTTGAAATTAAAAGATTTTTTAAATATATTGAGGGATATTAAAATGACATGCTTTAAGGAGTTTTTAACTCGAGAATTCAAAGAGCTAGAGTCCTCGACGGGGGCCCAAGAGTCCACGATCTGAGACCTCATGACTCGGGGGCTAAGAGGGAAGGATGCTTCAAGCAGAAGGACCAGACCCCGAGCAGTGGGCAAGGGTCTCCAGGGCCGGCCTCGGGATGCATCCTTCTCCAAAGCCCGTCTTCGGGCCTGAGTGGTGGGTCGTAACATGGTCTCCTTGCCCACCACGATTTTAAGGGGTTGTTGGGCGGCATTCCTCTTTGTATAAATTATGGCTTAGCATTACAAAATTATGTTCGCTCTTATCACACAACATTATTTAGAATAATCAAGCATTAATTTGCGAATAATTGCTACATTTATTTTATAATTTGCTAATAATTGCTACATTTATTTTATCTTACCCTTTTACCTTTATTATTTATGTGAACTTATTGATCCATACACTACACATTCAGGATCAAATAGTTCCATCAGATATATACACTATGAGCCTATGAGGTATTTAAAGGTTTGTAAATCCAAGCCTCCCATAAGTAAAATGAGACTATTATAAAGTAAAACTCTCGTCATGTATCGTGATTTTATTGATAAATGATAGAAAAGTAATAAAAACTGTAACTCTTTTTTCTGGATGAATCACAACATGCCACATAAACATTTGAGTAAAAATATAGTAGAGTTTATAATTATATGTAGTATTAATCCTCTCTTAATGAGTAAATCCATATATATGTCTCCATATACATATACACAACCCTTTACAGGGCGTTTGGTTGGAGGGAATTTAAATTCCCTTCCCACCTAATTTCAAAGGTCATAAAATTTCTTAGTTTGGTTGGAAGGAATTGCAATTCCATGGAATTGTAATTCTCCCATTTTCATGGAATTAAAATCCCATGTCCCCCTGAGATTTTGATTCATGGGATTTTAAGAAGAAAAAAAGCTAGTGATGAAACAAAATTATCCCTCATTTTTTTTTAACCTAAAATTAATACCACAACAACAATTGGCATTTTAGACTTTATACTACTTATTATTCCCTTTCAATTCCCATGTATACCAAACATTGGAATTGAAATTCAGAGTAATTCTATTCCTGTAAACCAAATACTGGAATTTAAATTATCATTTTATTCCCAGTAATTCATCTCCCATGAAATTACAATTTCTTTCCCACGTAATTTCCCCCTTCCAACCAAACGCCCTGTAGGGATTCCTTAGTCCATAGAACTATTGAGAGTATTGAGGGATTATGGGAACATAAATTAAAATTTGTGTGTTTAGTTGAAATTGTTGGGATATAACATTAATATTTTTAGTTCTTTGATGTTATATTTTGGGCTATGTTGTATAATTTATTTAAATGACATCAATACAAATAAGTAAATATATAAATAAATTTGCATTCACTACCAGATAGTTTACATTAGATAAATTTCACTCTTGTATAATAGCCCACAAACTACACATGAGACAACCATGTGTTGCAGATTCAACTAAGATCAATGTTTATTTTTATTATATGTGCTAGTGTAAGCTAGTACTTCAGTTAGATAGATTGGACTGATATTTTTTTCTTCATAAAAGAGTTTGATAGCTGCATTGTAATTTTATTCGTGTTGTATTTATTTGTGCATCTAGTTTACCACATGTATGAATAAATATTTAATACCTTTAAGATATATGAGTACCTGCATAATTGAGCAAAAATTACTTAGGTTTGTCTGATTTGTCATCATTTATATGAGGAATTGAGGATATCTTCAACTCACACAAGGAAACATTGTAATATTCTCAATTTGGAACTATCTCAATACAAACAATATATAGAAAAGCATATAACATTTTTAGTACAAAAGCATGTGTATTTGTCGTACATTTAGCCTAGCATGTAACTTGTAGTGGAGCCACCTTAAAAGATCATTGTAATTTGTATATAATTAAACGAAAAATGTGATGTATAAAGTAATACTTTTCTTACGTGTTTCTCATCAATGATGTGATAAAAATAAAATGGTGATTTTATGGTCTAGCAACTAAAGGAGAGACAAACATAATACCTCAAAAAATTATGAAAATAGTAGAGAACTCGAGAACGAAGAAGAATGATGTATTGCTTTGTATCTTTTGGATATCTTATATTTACAAGTCATGAATATCAATGGAAACTATAATCTAAAGGAGTAGTTCAAATGACAAATGAATTTTTTTATAGGGACGATCCGAAGAATAACCTAGGTTCGATTCTTACAAATGACAATTCTTCTTGGATCAACTCTCGTGTAATCAGCAATAAACCGAAATTAGACTGGTGGATCCGGAATTAGTAACGCTTCGATACAAGGACAAGTTATAAGTTTATGGAGATTAAAAAGGACAAGTTTAAAAGTTTACCGGGCGGGCATGCATTAACTTTTACAGACAGTCAAGTCATTCATTCACGGAGAAACAAAAATGCATAAAAAAAAAAAAAAAGAAAAGTGACTTTTTATCCAAAGCGTATCTGGCGTACACAGATTGATTCTTTGCCAGACCATTTTTTACTCCGTAGGAAGGTGATCTTGATTCGATTCTTGGGGGCTTGAACAGGCCTTCGAAGTCAATATAAGTAATCAACATAATAGAGTTATAGAGAGGATCCTAAGCCAGCAGGGAACAGAATAATAGTCATTAATGCCACTTTGCCTTGCTTTTTGACGTTGTTGGTTTGACTAAGGTTATCCACTTTACTACTTTACAACAAGCTAAGTGTGTTTGGTCACTGCAACGTAACGAGGCTAGTTTTTTGAAAATCCGCTCTCCGATTTGATGTTTGGGTCCGTTAGACTACACTCAAATCTTGCGCCCAAAATCTTGTATTAGCCTACACTAAAATCTTGCATTTTGTAAACTCATCATCGGCCTGCAAGACGGCCCACGTTCTCCCATAGCAACAGCTATACCATGGACCCAAGTTCACCTTGTAATGTGAATCCAGGTCTAAAATACACAATTTACATACTGAATGTTTAGAATTCTAAACATTCAGTATGTAAATTGTGAACATTTAGTATGTAAGATTATAAACATTTAGTGTGTAAATTATGTATTTTTAAACCCGAGTCTACCTTACAAGGTGGACCTGGATTCACAGAATAATTTGCCCTCCCCTAGATGGGGATAATAGCATTTTTCTTCATGAGAGTACATGCTTCAATCTTTACTAATGGGGATAGTATGATTTCATGTATTTAACTAATTGTTATTATGTATTTGATCAATGACTCTTGTTGAGAATAATCAAAACAATAATCAAGTAAGAGGTGTATCGGGTGGATTGTAGTCCACTGGTATCGGGTTGCTCCCCTAAGTGGGAGGTGTAAGGTTCGAACCGCAGTTGAGGCAAATAGTGTGTATATGTAGGGTATCCCCTTCCTTATTAAAACAAAAAAAAAAAAAAAAGAAAAAAAAAGTACGAGGTGTTAACTGATCGACTCAAAATGTTGACATCATATTGTCTACACAAAAGATTTGTCCAGGAAAAACCAATCCAATAAGTGGGAGAACCACTCAAGTTTATGTGTCATTCATATATTAATCTATTGTGGAATTAATTGAATTATATCAAACACTCAAAGCACATTCTCATGTACACACAAACTCATAAAGAGTAGAGTTTGACTTGACTTAACAAAACAAGGTTTGTGAATTTATCGATTTACGGAGTAATTTTTATGTAAAACTTGTCTTATTATTTTACCACCATGCATCCTTTAATCCTTTGCAGTAAATAGCAATAAGTTAAACTCAATTTGTGCAGTAATTGGGACAACTCAAACGATGAACTACGTTACATAACATTCAATCCTTGACATGATCTATAAATATTAAAAAGGAAAAATTCTTAATTTCATTAAATATTTGTGAATTAATCGGTCGCATTATAAATTATTAAAGAGTTGACGTAATTATCTAATACAAAATAATTCAAATATAATAATAATATTTTTGTAGGTGACGGTATAAAACATTAATCTTTCATGCTAACAATAATACTGATATTTTGTAGTATTCCCATAATTTATGTCAACATAACTACCTACACAATTGACAATATAATAAGCTTCATTTTTTTTTTTTTTTTTTTTGGGAATCAATAGAGGAAAATAAGGAAAAAATAACAAATTAAACTATATAAATCTTGGTAAGTCATCAGTCCCAAACAATCAATAGTCAAATGGGATAGTTAGTTGGCGAGCCAACATAACTGAAAATATAAGGGAGCAGAATATAAGTAAATTGGAAAAAGTAAATAGGCACAATAATTTTAAAGTGAAAATTAAATGGTGAAAATTACAGGTCTTTTTCGACTGTTTCAAGTTAAAATTTATTATTTTTGTAGGTAGTTTTATACATGTACAATTTCGATCTCTCCCCCTAGCCCCCCTTCTTTGTTCTTGGCTATTGTCTTTTATAGTAGAAGAATAGTATTACATTTGGTAACTAATATGTTTATGGTAATCGGATATTTATATGTTAGAGTGGAATATTTTGAAATGTAGAGGTGATTTAGGAAATATAAAGTTATTTAGGTAATTGGAGGAGATTAGGGAAGAAAAGAATATTTAAGAAAATTGTTTATATAGGTTGACGTGATGATTATTGAACAGAAGCTGATAAAAAATATAATTACATTATTTATTATGGTGTAATGATAAACACTTGATTATAACGGCAAATGATACAAATGTTTTAAAATTAACCCATACACGTCCATTTGAGGTGTCTGGGTGGCTGTCTTATCTCACACCTCTTTCTTTGGTCAACTTTGGGTAG